TTTCATAGAGCAGTCTTTTCTACTCGGAAATTGCTCTTGCTGTAACCTCTTCAGGGTGAATAAAGCCACCTGATGTAACACAACACATAGGTCCAGAAGCTGCAACTAAAATGTTTAAGAAATGCTATGTTTCAAATACCATGGATGGAACTGAAGAATTGTTTACAGTTGAAGATGCTGAGAACAGTAAAGATGCTAAAAGTGATGAAGTTGAAGGTAAAGAGAGTGACAGGTGTAGAAGTTAAGAGATAAGGGGAAGAACAGGCAACAGTAATCAAGTAGGCTAACCAGACAAATCATTAATGAAAAGTTTATATATATATATATATTTTTTTTTTTACTGATTACAGGTTAAGGAAGGAACTGTTTGTATATGACTTGTGGGATAGTGGGGGTAAGTCTTCCTTCTGGTTTATGATTGTCTGCTCTGTGAGCTGCTATTATTTAAGCAAATCTGAGTTTAAAAAGGTCTCCTTGAAATAGTAAATAGTTTTGGAAGTCTAAAACATCACATAAAGATTTCTATACAAAACTGGCCTACAGCTATTTATCTACTTGGTTTTTGTTAATAAGTAAGTTAGTTCTTCATTTGGACAACTTCCTACTCACGTCACCGTTCAACTCACTAGTGTAGTAATACATGGGCCACACTTTTAAGATAGCCCCAACATTTAATAAGTAGCAAGAGGCAGGCATAGTGAATGTTGATTCTCCTATTCATATCTTCAAACAAACAGGCTTAAGAAACTTACCTACTTTTCACGAAAACTTTTCCATAGGGAAATAATACTCTGTGGCAAGACTGTATTTTCTGACATTCATTTCAGCTCTCTGACAGTAAATATCTGCTTAAAGTGATCTCTTTGTGCAGATCCATTTGCCATTGTTATTTCTTTGGTCATATTTTGCGTGCTATTATTTCATTAGTCCATGTTCAATAGTAGATTAGCTATGGAAGTTATGCTACATATGTTATATTCTTATGCCAGCCCTATTCCTGTATAGTTCAGTTCAAATCTTAAAGCTACCCTGGCTATAACTAGAATGTTTTCAGTGGTGGTAGGATTTTGCTTAAAATGATTACTGGAGACAATATGACTAAAAATCACTCACCAAATATATACCACTATAGGCAAATGTCTATGAAGTTGGCTTAATACTTGAGCTCATTTGATGTGAGAGGCAAGGTCATAAGCATGGTTTTGTGCCTGCTAAATTGCTTGCTTTCTAACCTGGCTGGTCCAGAGTGAGAAGTATGCTGTCCAATATGAGCATACTGAAGCAGCTGCAGTTACCTGTTTGAGTAACTAAATAGTTGTACAAAAAAGATCTTATACATCAACATCTGCTCTGCAGCCTTCTATACTAGGAAGAAGAAAAGTAAACAAAGTAGGAACAGATACTTTTCTGAAACCATTCAAGAGTCAATTTTATGTGCACAGTTCAGTTCATCACTTTAACAGTTGTGTGCAGAATACTCAAAAGAATTTGGATAATGAATTTCTAGGGCAAAAATTAAGCTAAAGCTGATACTCTATAGCTAACAATTTTATTAACAACTCTTCTTTTAGAGGGAAATTCATGTATCACACCTCTGTTTTCTGGTTAGTCATTCACTATACAGTACTAAATGCATTTGGATTCACTCGGTGCCAATTATATTAGGAGTAAACTCATTTATGTTACCAGAAGAAACTGCTTCTTCTGGAAGGAAGGTGGAATAGTCGATTTCTTAAAAAGGGATTGTGACATTGCTTTAGAACCTTCATGTTGTTGGTTTCTTTGATCCCATTACAGTCATGGGATGAATCATGCCTCAAAACTGATTACGGCATTCGCACTAAACCTAAGCATTAAGACAATAGAAAGCCCACAGGAACTTTGGGTTGCTTTGGCTGCAGTGCTAGTATTTTGAACTGGAGTTACCTGTAGCAGGTAAAACTCAGTTTTGCTGTCCTGCATAACAGCAAGAAATACAAACAAATTAATCCTTCACTGATAATTTTTTGAAGAACAGAAGACAAAACCAGTTTGACTGTTTAACTCATCTCAAAAGGAAATGTCACCTGTCCTATACAAGTTTGCATATTCAGTGTAATAGTATTTATTCAAAGACAGACTGGAACATTTCTTGCCCTACTTTTATGTAAGCCTCTCTCTCCTCATTTGTCATGAGACACACAAGCTCTGGATTTTCATTAACTTCACTATAGGAGTGAGGCTGGCCAGCTACCAATAAAATGGGATCTAGTGTTTCCTGTTCCTCTTGTTCAAAGTTGCTGCCAGCTACTTTCATTACTTCAGATCTTGAATGCTTGGCATCTTCCTCAGATTCACTAGTGTCACTTTCCGATTCAGGTAGCTTGCTTTTGGCAAGGGGAGCACGCTCTGTGCCAGAAGATGGCTTAGATTCATGGATCAGTAGAGTCTTGATGATTTCACTATCAGTGACAGTTTCTTTACAGCTTTCTTCAATTTCTTCAGAAGGATGTACTCCTAATACACAATATCAAATGTTAGAGGGATTGATAGTAACCACATGACTATGGCAACCACAGCTATCCTCCATAACACAAATAAGAGGATTTTTCTACTCTATTGTCTTGTTTACCCACACTTTAGAATTCTCTTGAAAAATGCCTGCATTCAAGAATTTTACAACAACATATGTGTTGTTTTAAATACACTGTCAGAACCAGAACTTTTCAGAACATAATGCCTAAACTGTGGCTTTAGGAATACTACCTAGTATACCTACTATTATACTAGTCTAAAGGCTAGTTTTCAGAAACACTAAGGTTTGACAGTCACTAGTGCAGCACTGAAGAGTAACTGTGTATTAGGAAACTTATATTGAGATGCAGTTGCCTCTAAAACTTACCAACAGTATTGCTGGTGGCTGCTGCTGCTCCTTCCACAGTACTCTGTGACATCCAAACAGGTTGTTCTTTAGTTACTTTTTCTCTTATTTTCTTCTTCGCCTCAGAGTCTTGGACATCAATAACTAAATTTTGGGTGTACATATTGCCAAAAGAGGAACTTTTGTTGGCCCATTTTTCAGGTCGAGTGCTAGATTCCAGCACACTTGAACATGCCTTATGATCAAAGCTGAAAGAAATGTTACCCATTTTGGAGAGATTAATTATAAGCCTCAGTCAAAAAAAACACCCCAAAGAAAAAGGTGTTTGGTCAGCTGCTTAACTTTAACAAGTTCTCCATATTAAAACAGTTTTCACTCTCTCCATTATCACAGAGATGAGTGATTCTGAACCATTAGCTGTTGCACATTCTCTTCAGTAGTGCATCCCTGGGTAAAGCATACTGATAGAGTAACATCATTTTCTTACAGAAAAGCCTGTAAACAATATTAGCCAAAGCAGCAGAAGTCTGGAGAACTGCATACTCCTTAAAACAAAACAGGTAGCAAAAATTAAATCATAAATGCAAACTAGTGGTTTAAAATGCCATAATACAAGCATCTTCATTAAGCAGCTTGCAACTTTTACATTAGACAGTACAGAACAAAGCAAAACAGAAAGGGGGCTGTAAATCAGGTGTTTGGCAAATATTTTATAACTGGAAAGTTTTGTGGGGTGGGAGTTGTACTGATCAGGAGTTCTAGAGTTGCATTCATACCCTTCTGATAGTTCTGGGATTTCTGTAGGTTGAGGCTCCAGCAAGTCATATGGCAAAACAATATCTTCAGTCTCACGCAATAGCAGAAAGATAGGTTCAATCTGCTCATTGAATCTTGCTAGCAAGGTTCGAGCATCTCGTTTGGGAAGTGCTGAGGCATCCTCCTCTACTTCAGTGTTGCAGTAAGTGCAGCGGAAAGTCTCTGCAACGTTACCCAAATTGGAAATTCCCATGTAAGGGAAGGAAAAGCTTAGCAATAACTTGTCAAGAAACCCACAGCCTGGACAATTATTAACAAGTTCTAACTGACTTCTCTAGACTCAATATCCATTTGTTCATTTCATTCAAAGGAACTCATGTTAATTAAAGGCAAGCATAAGAAAAGAGAAGACATTGCAAGCATAGATAGCATCTGCTAATGATTCTTTCGAAGTTCAAAAAGACTCTCAGAGTCAAAGCCTAGCGTAAAGCCTACATTTATGTCTCAAGGGAAGAGTTTTAAAGCATGTATTTTACTAGAAAAAAAATCAGTTATTCTAATAAAATATAAAGGGATGGCTTTGCTGACTGATAGTTCAATAGCTCCACCTTGCAATTGCAAGATGATCATATAAAGCATTGCTCATTCTTCCTGGCTCTGGCATCCTTTCCAGATACCATGACCCAGATGTTAACACAGTAGCTGCACTTACATATTGCAGTAATGTATGATGCCATTTTAACTCATTTTGATACCATACTCTAGTTACTTCAGTCTTTGAGAAGAACTCTTGAGTTTGATGTCACCTCTGCTATGGATTTGTTGTGTGGCCTTTGGAGGTGTCAGAACTTCTGTGTTTCCAGATTAGTACAGGAGTGGCAGAAACCACTCCTCTGCTGCTGAGTTGCATTATTTTTATTGCAGTAGGTGGGTGCAGGGTTTAATTAAAGCTTCGTCATGTCTTTCATCACAAGAGTTGAAGATGCATATGGATTAAACAACAAATTCAAAACATGAGAGTAAAATGACTAGTGCATTCTCATTTCTATATGAGACTAGAACACACAGGAGTTGGTAAGTAATTTTATCCCAGGGTAAGTGGCTTGTTCATAGCAAAACTGAGGCCAGAATCTGAATCTCAACCCTGGCTCTTAAAATCCAAGTTATGCCTCCTCTTGCTCAGGGTTTTTTTTTTTTTTTTTTTTTAAAAACATACACAGCTTTTTCTCTTACCCTCACCTCCCAGCTTCTTATCCTGGTTCATGCCCTTGTCCCACCAGCAAAGAGGTACATCTTAACAAACATGCTTTCATTGCAAAGTTTGCACAGGAACCACCTCCATGCTGTCAAAGTTATTCTTCAAGATAAGAGCAAGCGAGCAGTATAACCAAACATACCTGTAAATACATCAAACAGCTGGTTGACTTCCAGGTCTGTGTAAGTGCTGGAGCAAGATGGACATTTGAAAGAAGACCTGGTAGTTGAATCCCGCTCATCCGCTTCTATCTTCCGGCGTACATGATCCAGTTTGTATTTTACCACATCTACCAGCACCTTGTAATTGATGTAATAGTAATTGTGCCTTGTGCTCTTCCCATTAGGCCCCGTTTCAACTCGCATACGCAACTTGACAAATTTGTCTGCTTTGAGTGTGTTGAGGACGGTACGCAATTGCTTACGTTCATACTTGAGCAACTGTAACAAGTCATCCTCTTTGACACAGGGGTAGCGGATCAATATATCAAGGGCCAGTGAGTACTCTATTCCATAGAAACCACGCACCATGTATTTGGCTAGACGCTTTAAGGCTGCTGGAACCTCAGTAATAATGTTTTCTTCCATCAGCAGCTAAAACACTGTCAGAAAGAGAAGTATTAATACCACATACAAAATGGAGGCAGGCTGCGGTGAGTCTCTCAGAGCTCACAGGCTTATATGAAGCAACTCATTTACTTTGCTGCTCTTCTGTAATAATCCTCACTGAACAGATTAATATAAAATCCTTAATTTGCACCTGGGAAATGAGGTAGAGCATGCAGATGTCAAAGGTTACCTGATCTTCAGGTGTAATGATTATACCTGAAACGTTGAAGGCCTCTTGTGTAAAGAATCACAGAGAGCATCGAGGAAGATTGGGTTAGGACAAGTTCATAATCTTCCTCTTTTACAGGAGGCAGTGTAGTTAACTTTCATGTTGAGGTCTACCCAAATTAGGTCTTTTTCTTTCACAACCAGCCAAGTAAACACACACTACATTACAGCGCAAGGACAAAAATGAAGCACAAAATCCCTAGGTTAATGCACCAACACTGAAGTAGAGGAGACTTTCCTTTTGTGACAAAGCCACAAAAGGTACTTGAGCACCTCTTAGTTTGCTATTTGGGTTTTTCTAACTGTCAGAGCACAGGATACTGCATCTTGTCTGACATTGTCCTTGTGCAGCACAGTATGGGTGGGGCTGAGCCTGCTTGTTCCACCACACAATCTCCAGGAAACATATGTAGCAGAACTTTTTGCTCTGTTACCCTTCTACCCTGTAGAAATAGGGCCTTTGACACTAATCAGTTCCTAAGCCTATTAAAGTAGAATAATTACATTCTGGTTAATTGAACTGTCATTACCATTCCCTATTCGTAAGGAGTGGAAGGAAAAGAAATAATTTCTTAGATAAGTTTCAATTAAGCTGCATCCTAATTCACTTGCTTGAGACATGTTAACACCCTGCAGTAATATTTGACACAGCAGGCTCTAGCCAGATTGCTTTGCAGTGTGCCATGCAATGTTAGGGATAAGTGCAGCCCAGCAGTGATGGTGATGCCCCCAGATGAGAAGGTGCGTGGTAGGGGGAAGGCATTTTATGGCACAGTTGCACTGCCATCACTGGCATTGGCATCCATTGCTGAGGGGCACCTTGCACAAGCCCTGCCACTTGTGGGTTGTGGCTACATGAGGCTTCCAGGTGACCTTCAAGAGAAGTCCCAGTTAAAATAAACAAAAGCATTCTGCAGCAGCACAGTAGTTCAGCTGTAAGTACACTTGCACCTGACAGGGGAAGCACTATCTTTTCACTACCTAAATACTACTGTAAGCCTGCTGGTCTGCAGCTAAAGACAGCTATTAGCTTAATTAATTAATAGCACCATATTGACAATTGGGGGAGATTTTTGGCAGGGCCTAAGGGAAGGAAATTGTGCCCCCTTTGATGGGAGAGGGGCTGGGTGTTCTGCATGCTCTGCTAATCCTGGCAGAGAGCTGAAGTCAAGGAAGAGCAGCAAGCACTGAACAAGGACTTGCCGAACACTTGTTCATTCCAGGCAGAAGCTGTGGCTGGCCTTGCTCTTGGAACAGCCTCACCTGCAGTAGGAGCAGAGCCCTGGCACAGAGAAATCCAATCCTAGATTTCCCACAGGTGCAGGAGCACTGGAACAGGCTACTGGCTGATACATTCTCTGGATGACTTCTTATCTCAGGCTTGTGTTAGGTACTTGCACCTCTAAAGCAAGCAGTACTTCTAAAGTACTCAGAAGTTTGGATTGCGCTGAAGTGCTTCCAAACACCTTGATGTTGAAAGCTTTTCTCAGGTCAGTCTTATAACCACGTAAACTAGTCAGCAAAAAGGAAGGGGGGGGGGGAACAACACTCCCCAGGTAGTGTAAGTGCTGTGGATTTCTTTTCTTGAAATGGAAAAAAGCTTCCCACTCTTTCAGGATATATTCACAAGACCCACTGGCCATTTGCAGTGTGAATTTAGATATACAGCGATTTGACTGAATGTAGAGGAAATGGCTTTCTTTTACTAAGAACAGCCGAATTTACCCTGACTAAAATGCACATATGGAAAACACAAACCCATCAAGAAGTGTTACTTTAAGTTACAAGGGAACATAGCATATGTATTCTATAGTAAAAACAATTTCAAACAGAAATAAGAAAAAAAGGGTTCTCTACAGCACTTCAGTATATCTGATGTTGCATTTCTCCAGTCCATTTTGTTAAGTCTCCCAATTTTATAATCACTGAGTCTGATCTGTAGCACTTTTGCAGTTCAGAAGAACTGCAGGTCTTTAAAAGCTGTTGTGTAGTTTTCAGTTCATGGATAGCAATTCTCCTTTAAGAGAATTATCAAGAGGAGGAAGAAGCAGCAGCAGCAGCTCCCTGCAGAGACAAAGTGGCTTTAAGCAGGAATCTGCTCCAGAGCTGAGTTTCCATTAAGGAGAAAGGTATTTTGCTACTCCTGTGAGTTTCTGTTTTTTGAATTAACAGTATTGACAAGATGTTTTACAAATCATGGTCCAGCTTCTATCTTTAGCTGCTTTTAGAGTATTTGTTTCTATTATAGTAGAAGCTATATTTTTAACATATTGGTATCTTTAAGATTTCTCTGCAGCTTAGGTGCAAGAGAGGCCCTTCAGTTTATAGTTAATAGGGAAGCCACTATAATGTTTGTTGAGGAAAAAGAATGCAGCCCTTCAACTTCTCCGTAAACAGGAGTGGGAACTACTTTTTGGACAGTCTCTCTGTTTTGGGAAGCCTACACAGAGTTGTTTGTCATGCTAGTAGTCAATTATCAAAAGAAGAATTTCAAGTTAACAGGCATCATCACATAGAGCAAGTTCTGCAAGGTTTTCTGGAATCAGCTGCTTAATTAACAACATCTTACTGGAGCTGCCTGAAAAGACAAACTAGGCACCTCACTATATTTTGATCAGCCCTTACACATTAAAAGCATTACAACAGAAATATTTATAAAAGTAGATGTTAAAATAACCATATCATTTGCAACTAAGTTAAAAACATTATTACCTCACTTTTATATGCAGAAAAACTTCAGGCTGATACTGTAGAAGAACCACTCCTTTCCTAAGAGCTTGAAGTAAATGCACAACAAGCTTAAGTATTTCCCAGCCTTTTCCTAGACCTATCTGTGATAAGCCCTAATTAACAACCAGCTGGAGAAAGAGAGTCCCCAAATCACCTTCATTAGCAACTGAATGAATTCAATCTTATAGATATATATTGCATCATAATAAAGCTACAAATCTTATTGCTCAGTAGAGTGCACCTAGAGCAGACAAGGATTGAAATTGTAAGTGACTGCAATAGTTGGTTAGTGTTTTCAATAGCATGACTTTAGAAAGCCAGAAGTATCAGCATTATTAACTTTTTGATTTAGTTTAGATGATAATTTACATAATTAGTGCTTAGAACTTCTTATAACCAAGCAAACCTGGAAACCTGAACATCTTGCAGGGAAGAAAATAAAATCAATAATGTCTTTACTAGTAATTTTTCCACTTCTGCTTGCTAATCTTTTTAGATGACTTAGGTCTTCAGAGGGCTGATAAAAACAATTTTTTGCTATATTTCTCTAGAATACGAATGCTATTATTTCCTTTTATAGATGAGGCATTTGAGTTTATAAGCAACGCTAAAATAAGCGTTTTAATAAAATGCAGAGCAGAGTATCAAAACCTCACTACACGAAGGGTAGTACCTCTGAGGAATACTCAATAGTCAGATTTTATTAGCTGTAGCAAGAATTTAGGACTCAAAATACTTCCAAGGTTCAGACGAGTAGGAGACTGCAGTTTAGAAACTGCAGGAACAGATGATTCTATAAAAATAGCAGATTTGAGGTTAGCTCTGCTTTTGCCTCTAATTTATGATAGCAGGGATCTGTTTCATGCCTTCTACTGAAGAAAATACTACGCTTTCTCACTCTCTTAAATAAGAAACTGGCTGGTGGTCACATACAACTGAGAAGTACAATTGGTATAGATGAATTACATACATTCAGCTGCAGATTTTAAATCTCCTTGTGAGTAAAAATAAGTAGACAGAGTTTATTTCGTATAGCGGTTTTTGAGTACACTCCTTTGTCATTGTGTTACACTACAACATGCAAAGGAGCAAGCCTACTTACTGGTACCTGTTGGTTTTAGTCTGTGGGAAATATTTACGATGAGTAATACCTGTGGATCTCCTTATGTGTTTTGAATAGGTAAAGTGTCATGTAACCTCAGAGCTGTCACTCATATGACGGTCCTGTGTGTGGGGATGTGGAAATACATGACAAGAAAACATGAAATAGCTTTCTAAATTAAGTGGTATGATGGTCTGGTTGTTAACACTGCTTCCTGTAACAGGAAATGGCACACGCTGGAGTAAGCTGTGGCTAATAACGGGGGCTGTTGGGAGAGGACAGTTAATGTGGGCATAGCGGAGGTTAATCTCGGCAGTGGAGGCACCGCTCATCCGGGTGCCTGCTTGGGTGGCCACCAGGAGACGATTCTGCGTGAGCTCACGCCGTGCTACCTGCAGGCTTAATCCTGCACGCTCAGCGCAGGAGTGAAAAGTGTAAGCAGAGAAAAATAAAGCGCAGTTTGAGCAGGCATTTCTGCCTGTGTGTAGCCCTGGCGCTGAGCGCTGTGGGAAAAGCGATTCTTGCTCCTGTGTTGTTGCAGTGTTGTGTAACAAAGATACCATTGAGAGCAGGAGCTTGAGATGGGGAAAGGTAAAGTAATTTACTGGCATAATTTCAAAACCATTTGGACGGCTGAAGGCTTTATCTGGAATGGCATCGACATTGCCCAGCACTTGCAAACTACTTGAGGAGAAGGAGGCAGGTAGTCAGCTGAGCAGTCCCAGATGGTAGAAACAAGTGAAGGGAGTCAGATCAGAGGCTGAATGAGAAAATAAATGGGTCACTGCTCTGGGAACCAACGGTATGATCAAAATCAGAGTAAATATGGTATGTTTTACCTGATTGTTGGCAGAGCAGAGGTTGGTGTAAACGGCCTCTTGAGAGGTTGTGAGCTGTCATAAACTGCTTTTTGTCCTCCCTTTGCCCAGCCCCTGCTGTTCTGCATTTCTCCTGAAAGGCACACAGAAGCTATATTCCACATTCTCCATACCAACTTATATCCACCTCTCCCTCAGTTTAAAAAACAATCTAGGCACTCTAAAAAGACAAAATGGCCAGGATTAAGGTTAAATGCCCATATATCACTTGCTCCTTTGTACAGAAGGGTTCTTGATCACATGGTCACATCTCTCTCCTTTTTCCCCTGGCTGTCCCTTTCACAAAGTCTCTGCCTCACTCAACATGCAGGCTGTTAATTTTCATCACTGAGTACGTGGCACTGAGCCCAGCTTATTTTGTGAACCATCCAAACCTTGTGTTGAGATGATTCATTTCCTTCTCATTTTTCTGTGGTGTTCTACCTGTATTACCTAATTCTGTGATCCTCAAAGGCATGCTGGTATCCAACTAAATCAACTATGGGGGCTTTGGACCTGTATTTTCAGATTAGTTTACACCGTAGTCTTAACAATATCCAGAAAGAGAAAGGATATTACGCCTATTTTGCATATGAAGCTCTGAGGTACAGAACTGGAAACCAAGACTGATGGGCAGTTCTGAGAGCCTGAACTGAGAGAGGCAAAAACTCAGATCTTAGTACTCTATCACTGCAGCATAGCTCCCTCAGCCCTGAATTCTGGTTGTGATTGGTACTTCCAAAGCATGACCACCGGGATCACAGACTGGGTCCTCACCAAACACCACAACCTGTTGTATTGCGTTTCTAGCACCGGCAGAAATAGGGAGGGAATTCAGTTCTCCCAGCTGGTACTTAACTGCCTGGTCTACAACACCCTCCTTTCTCTTGTAAAGCCTTATCTCATTTATTGCCCTGAAAACTGAAATAAAGCAGAAGACTTTCTCCTTTGTTATGCCATCCTCATTTATCACAAGAACACAGCCTGTCCTGTGCAGTGAATGAAACAAGGGATTTCTGTAAAAGGAAGTTTGGGATCATGCAGTGAGGCTGCACCCCACTGAAAAAGAAAGGGGAATGAGTGGTTGCCATGCTGGTACATTTGTCGACTTCTGGATGCTTAGCCTTAGGATTCACTTAATATAACTTACTTTATTTTTAAATCTAAAGAACGATTGTTTGGGATAATATCTTTTTAAATTTTAATATTCGTAGGGGTGTCAGTTTTACGTCTACTGTCTTCTAGCATATGAATAATTGAAAAATGTGTAACAACAGTTACTAGTCACACAGGAGGGGAGATGTGTTTTGGTTCGGGTTTGAGATGACAGCAACAAAATGCTGTTTCAGGTGTAATGGGGTCAAGAGAGGAATGTACTGTAGTCATGTGATCTTAACAGCCTGCCACTCTCTACTGTCTTTCTATGCTGTTTTACTCCCTTCTCCTCTGAAACTCTTCTTTTTTTGTTCTCCTCTCTCCAACCCATCTGCCTCTGTTACGTTCTCCCATCATCTGGTTCATAAAGACAGCAGACACCTTCTGGAGTTGGCTGTGGGTATTGTTAAGAGAATTGGTTTCCAGCTCTCGGCATATATATGCCAGAATGCAGATACAGCATTTGAGGAGCTAAGTTGATGTGAATTATAAGAAACTACTCAAGGTTTCATAAACAGAGGCTAAATTCACGTGGTGGGCGTAGCCTGAAAAAAAGCTATGCCTAATCCTGACAACTCCAGCTACTAGAACCAAATTTATAATTTAAAAAATGATGGCATTTCAGTACTTTGCCACAACAGAGTCTTTATAATCTCTTAATTGGTTTTACTATAGGTTAAGATTAATTTTTCTTTTTATCTTTCTCAAAGAAATGAACCATTTTCACTGAAATATTAAGAGGGAAAAGTCTAGGGATAACTTTTTTTCTATGCTGAGTATCTGCCTAACGCAGAAAGTTTAGTAAGGTTAAAAGAAAACTAAGACTATAGTAGCAGGAAATCATGAGCAAGCCTAATGACTGGAGTTAATTAAACATGTAATACCCAGCAGGCACAGCCTCCCTACTGAGATTCTTGTATTCCTTCTGCATAACCCTTGAGCTAGGAGAATGTACTTTGCAAAATAAATTAGACCAAGAGAAGTTGTCCCATATGCAATTAATATAATTCAGAGCTGATTCACTGTAGTACAGAAAATCAGTTTATGTTCTCAGTGAGTAAATTGCTCAATGTCAGTATGTAAAACAGACTAACCCCTTTATAAGTATTGTCCTCTCCTCCAAGTACAGAGTATGGGAGCAAGCTAAGCTACCAAAGACCTTAAAAATCTTCGATATTCAAAGTTATGACGCTCTCAGTCAGGCAGACTTACAGGAAACAACTGCGTGATCTACTTGCTTCTCGATCACAGTTTTCAGCCAGTTTGCATGTTGTGTTACTAGCCTGTTTAACAGTCAAAGGCAGCTTCCCACATAATGCATAAATATTCGGAGACTTTTTTTCCAAAGCAAATTGTGTTTCTGTGGTTTCTGCCTCTGCTTTGATTAAGTCTTATTCCTTCTGGCTAATCTTGTTCTACTGGTGCTAAGGTTGAGAGGTTTAGCTTCTTGGAGGAGCTTCGCTGTTGCTTCTCACCACCGCTTCTGGCCCTCCAAAATAGGAAGCTAGGACAGAGATCAGCTGATGATACCTGAACAAGCATAAGCAGGTTATTTGCCTACTGTTATCACTAAGGTGACATCCAAGGTTTTGAGAATGCTGGTTTTGAGAATGCTGTTTGGATTTTTTTTTTCCTCCTTTCACCGATAGCCCATAGAGCCAGCTGTGAGAAGATGGTGGTGTGCCCTGGGGAAGGAGTGTTTTGTTGTTAGCGCTGGTGCGTTCCTCGAGCTCTTTGCTGCTCTCCTAGTCCACCCTCCGCAGTGCCTGCTGTCTCCAACTCATGTATTCTATTTAATCTTACTGTTTTCCTTGCAGATAACTTCTGGGGCATCTGTAGGCATTGCTCTGGAACTTTGCTTCTAAGCAGCATTCAACTGTAATTGACTCTAATACAAGCTCACTCATGTGTGTGTTTCAACACCAATACCTAGATTTTGGTAGAATCAAGTTCCTTTCCTGTGTTCTCCCTGTCCTCAATAGCTGCCAGCATTTTGCTTTTTGTAGGACATGCTGCTCTTTCTTCCTCTGAAATAGTACGGTCTTCACTGCACGGGCTTCTGAAGTTTTAGAGCTGTAGAAGTTTCTTGGCAACCCAACATTTTTGCATTCAAATGCTAGCATCCAAACAAAGGCTTTGCCTTTCCTGTAATGCCTCGTTTGATCCAATACAGAATAAACTGGATTAATTCTTTGTATCTATATTAACAGTAAAAATTTGCTGGAAGCTAAAATATTGAGGCTGTCCTTCATAGAGCTAGACTCTGCATTAATCAAAAAAAAAATATATATGTGTGTTTGTTCCAAGTGATGTAAACAACAGGCTGTTGCTCTCTGGTGAAAGAAATCTGGTGATTTTCAGGATGGAACGCGGAATGCTTTGTGAATCTTGCACTCTGTGAAGAAAATATATGCTTCTCACTAGATTTAAACAGAAGTAGAAAAATGGGTAAATACAACTAATGAATTCTAAGCGGAACCTTATTTAAAAGAAAAAAAAATGGTTGTTTACTAACATAGAGAAAAAACAGGCTTAAGAAACAGTCTGTCTCTAAATCAGACCAGATCTTCAATGTTTCTGAGGCACCTCAACTACACAAAGCGTGAGCATGAAGAAACACGTCCATTTTCTTTCTTTACATCTTTCAGTATTTCTAAGGAGACTCTTAAATTATATCCCAAAGTTGCAAGTAGCTGTATTTCTCTCTTCCTGTGACACAGCCTTCACTTCCATTATAATGTCTAGGGCAACAGAAGCAGGGGAGATGCAGTAGGCTGACGCTAAAAATAGATTTCTGCATAGGTAACAACAGGAAATTAAACTTTTTCTCTGTTCTGAGAAAATCCTCAGAACAATTTCTTTCAGAGTTGACAGACGAAGGCAAAAACAATAATTGATTGCTCATGTTCCTCACTTTTTCGACATTAAAGCAGGCACAGGAAGACATGTTTCCTCCGCCCTCTTCAATATCTTTCTTTTAATCAATAGGAGACATACATATGCAGGCTCTGGATAAGCATCTGTGGATTTAGCTATGCTATTGCAATTGCAATGCATTTTCCAGAGTGTTAAGTGTGGGCTGTCTTGCACAAGGGACATACTGAAAGCTCATTAGTTACAGACTGTAAATAGTCTACGCTGCCCTGCTCCACATACTCTAAAGTAGGACAGGACTAATTAAGCAAGTACTTATTTTTAAATGACAAAGTAATTTGATTATGCCTTTGTTATGCAACTAGTTCCAAAGAAATCTGAACAAACCTCTACCAGATTAAGGTGTGAAATCAGCAGTATATAATTTGCTTCTTATGGGACAGACTATACAAACGTGGTGGTTTTATACAAATCATCTACTCTACAAACTGCATTTTATACTATACATGTGTTTCTGCCAATCTAAAAATGTTACTACTAATGTTTTGGTCTACACAGGTTCAATATTCATGATTCACATTGAAAATCAGCTTAGGTAGTATAACTGAGCTAACATTTGTTAAGTGTGCACACTTCACTTCAAAAAATTGTTTAGATATACAATTAGACTAGCCCTTTTGCGGGGTCAGTCTGAATAGCGGGATGCGGATCTGTATCTGCTCAGTGTGGCAGTGCTTTACATCTGCTTGCGTGCTCTGCTGCTACAGCTGTTCATCTAAAGTCTACAGTATCAGTGCTTCATTTTCTTCAACCAGAAGCCTTGCTTCTTAATGCGTCACTTGCTAGAGTTGTTTGGCAAATAACCGAGTTTGCTGCAAGCCAGTAACCTGACTACTGAAATAAAGAATAATGTAAAGCTATCTTTTAAAACTCCTTTTAGAAAATGAAATGATATTAAATAAATCTTAGCCAGCCACACCAGGATGAAAATTTGCTTTCCATCTCAGATTTATGAGCAACAATTTCCCCCTCTCCCACCCTGTAGACGTCTTAGTATTAAGTACGCAGTTATTAAAAATGAAATCGTATACTAGACTTGACTGTTTGAGGCAGAAAACTTAATATGAACTGTTCTGACCTTGCTGCATTAAACTTCTGCTCTTTTGAATGTCCTAGATATCAAGAATCCACTCGTGATTAGATGTCATGAACTTGCAGGTTTGGATTAGACTGCCTTAAGCAACACAGTCTCTGGCTTCACCAAGAAGACAGCACACACTTCTATTACATGAGTGATGAGTTTATATTATAAAATTATGGCTGTAACATCCCTTTCCTAAGGTGGTTAAGAAAGTATTGAAAATGAGCCAACATCTATGCAGGTCCCTAAGCTTGTTCTCTGCAGCATTTTCTTTTTACGTGTTATAAAACACAGAGCTGGTGTTAGAAACCAATCCCAGCGTGCAGCCAGTGACAGATGGATAAAATCATAGATAAAAATCACTGCTTTCTACGTTATCTGCTTCCTGGGATCCTAAGATGCCTGCATTTCACTCTACTTAAGCCATTCTTTATTTCTAAAAGACCTTTACTTTCTTAGTTTGAATTCTGGCCAATGTTGTGATCTGACCTGGCTTTTCCCACCCCCTCTTGAAGGGGGGAAAAAAAGTGGCAGTAGTGGTCAAATACTTCTCATTATAGTACTAGCATTAACTGGCAGATAGCTTAAGAAAGAAATGAGTATTTCAGACACTGCTAAAATCAGTCTGTTTGGAAGTGAATGACCTTCCTGCCCCACATGATATGTAACATGCATGGTGACTTCCTCTGAGGTATAGTCTGGTCAAAGAAAGAAATTCTTCAAGAATATTTATTGTATTAATACATTTATTGTTTTTGGAACAACAGAAAAATCTGTTTAAAAAAATTGTTAATATGGCAAGGAAGAACTTCAGCAAGAGATCTGCAAACAGTGAACAGATGTTTTGGCGTTAGGCATTTCCCCAAGAGCTTGTTTCTGTAACTAGGTATGACTTCTTGGTAGGTTATTTTACACCAAGGTATCTTAGACGTATCCTTATTTGGACTAGAAGACCAGATATTCCTTCCAAAAGCTTAGGAAAGGATAACAGAACTACACTGTCACACATAATCTTCTAAAATAATTTAAAATTCTTGTCATGCTTGGTAGGTGCTAATTTAACTCATTTGTGATTTAAAAAGTATTCTGAATCTGAACACACAAAAATTCTGGTCAAGGCTGAAGAGATCTAGAGCTAATTGCTGAACTTGTTTTGCGGAAATAGTTGAAAATGGAACTAATGTACATTAGTGCAAATTTCCAGTCAGCAAAGCTGCTGATTAGGAAGCAAGAAAGTCCAATGCAAGATAAGGTCCTCCGTTTAGAAGCTCATTGACGTTTCCATATAGCCATTAAATTTCTGAAGAAAGAAGTTAGGCTGGGGAATCTCTTTCCAGAAGTAATTTTTTCTTGGAGGGCCTCCAGTTCAGTCAAGCAACATAGGAAGGATACAGGACTACCAAGGACTACAGGGATCTGGACATTCCCGCAGGTAAGTCTCTGTATGACCGCTGTATACCTCCATCAGTGTTGTGCACACCGTCAGCTATTAAGGGCATGGGAGGAAGGAAAAATAGAAAGCCTTGTTATAGGAGTAAGTGAAAAGTTGTCTTAGATACTGGCTGAACAGCTCAACTAAAATGAGCATTTATCTTATTTAGCTAATTGAGTCTAATCTCTAGATTTGTATAATAAGTCAACGTGTAAATAGGAAAAGCTCACATCCTCAGCCAAAATTGCTGCCTCTATTGAAAATAGTAACTAAACTTTCTGACTGAAATCTCTTTTCTCACCCCTTGAGGTTTTTTTTTTTTTTTTAAAACCAAACTTCCAGTTCATCAGATTGAAATGTCTTCTGTTGCAACAAGAACATTAGTGTACCTAAACATAAGGTATATTAACTTGTTTCATGCTAAATCTGAAGGCATGGATCATAGGATAATTCAGATTACAAGGGTGCTCAGTATGTCTCAAGTGCAACTTCTTCCCCAAACCAAGGTCAGCTATCAATTCAGACCAGGCTACTCAGGGCTTTAAAGCCATAGTACCTTTGAAAAACTGTTATTCTAACACTTACATTTTCCTTTTACAATCTAACTTAGAAGGTTTTGTTTTTATATGCATGCTTTTACCTAGCAATCCACTCACCTCTCAAAATCTACCACTGAATAGCACAGTATGTACGTGTGGAAAAAATTCAAACCTAACTCAATCCTCCCATAAGCTGGTACAATAGTGTGGTAAAAACTGAATGTACTGCTGACCACCTCCTTATATATACGTTACACGTTCCCCCTGCTCAAATTTGAGAAAGAAAAAAAAATTACCTTATTGAGGACAGGCTTTGTGGAAAGAACGTCATAGATAGTTGGTAATGAGATGTTCTAAAAGAAAGCAGTGCACTGATGTTAGTGGATGTTAACTTGTTTACCTTGTGCTGTGTGTAAATGCTGAGAGCTGCAACTTTTCTGATGTTTCACTTAGGTAATAAGATAGAGCTTTAAGAATATATGACACCAATGCATCTTGAGATCAGAAGAGCATGGATTGAAAAAACCTGAGCAGGCTAGATCTCACTACAACATGGGAAACTTGAGTTTCAGTGTCTGTTGCCTGTCAGTGTTTGTTAAATTTCACTAGTGATAGAACAGTTCAGGAAACACTGATATTTCCCAAAGTACCTTCAGGTTTATCACCCTACATAAGTGGCAGAAGAAAACACTTTTAGAAAACCTGTATTTGAAAAAGTAGAGCAGTGAAAAGCCTCAAGCTAGGGAAGGAGAAAGCCTAGAACTAGGAAACATTCATGTAAAGAGCCAGCTGGTACTCTACAGAAGCGTAGACAAATTGGCACAAAAGCATTAGCTACTTCTGTCATTACAGCTTTGCTTGCAAATGCCCCACTTATCCCTGGCTAAGTCAGATCACTTCTATGGTGTAACTTGAGCTAAGCATTTCAAAACAGCAAGGTTAGGTATTCAGAGGAGGTTTACCTCTTGCTGTGTCTGGTTCAGGCACTTCATTGCAGGTGTTCTACGGTTATCCAAGATTAGTGGAGGCTTCCAGCGATCATAGTTTGTTTCTACCACATACCATGTGCCTTTCTTTATATCAAGGCTGAAAAAGATATGTATCTGTTTGTGTTTCACTTCTCTAAGTAAATATGCTTATGAAACTAGATTTTTTTAGGCCTACTACAAGTATATTTCAGTGATACTGAAGAACTGAATTCTTACACAGGAGAGGTCACAAGAGACACAGGACACAGTTACCAGTGGAACCTGTCCTTTTCCAGAGAGTCAGGTCAGGTCAAGCATACTCACTCCCAGATATCCAGAGTAGCTGTCCTGGAACGAGTTATCACACAGCCTTCTCCAGAATTTTTTCCACCTAATATAAAGTAAGCTGGAGCCAACAGTCGTGTTTTTGACAATTTGTCTTTTGCATCCTGGTAGCTGCAGATAACAATAACGTTTTGGACTATTAAATGCTATAAATGGTTCAAGTACTGAAGAACTAGTTTCAGACCCATGAAAAATTTGGGCAGTTAAACCTTTCTTTCCCCTTCAGACACATACACAGGGACTGCATCATAATGAAAGAACACACTTAGGCAAAGCTTCTCCACTCAGTTTGTACTTAAAGTAAGGTTGTTGGGAGGTGTTCCTTGCACGCTTTTTTTTTTAATATGAAAAACAGGAATACAGTGATGATGTACTCTAGCAGTGTTATATTCCATCTAATTCATTTACTGCATCAGAGCATTAATTCTGGTTATTTCCTACCCTATGCTACTAACTGTTGGATATGTTTTGATGCAGAATACCGTCATGCATTCAGATGCCAGTAGTTTCATTTAAAAAAAAAAAATCTGAGGAGTTTTAAAGGAAATCATATGCCATGCTTCCCCTTCCCCACCCCTGACATGAAGTATCAGCAAAGACAGGAACTGTTTAATGTTAAGACTACTATGATACAGGTATTTTCCTTAGATACTTAATATGAGACATCTACCTACAGTATGCATGCCAGTAAGGAGCAAAACAAGTTAAGAGTGAAATATTTAGAGGAAAAAAAGTGCAATACCTTGTAGCGTTCTCTAGTACTGTCCTGGTAAGAAAGCCCATCCACATACCATCTCTTCTACCAAGAAACCATTCAAATATTCCTGCAAAATATCACTGCTTATAATAATTTGTTTTCATAAGCTTCTGTCATGCTGGTCTAGCTTTCATAGCCTTTAAAGTGAACTGTTTTTATCTTACTCATCTGGAATCTTTTCACCATTTGTGTGACTTCTTATTAAGGTAACTGGTACACCTAAGGTCTGGAAAACTTGCGTTAAAATAAAGAAAGGAGCATTACTCACCAATATAACCACCATCAAGGCTGAAACGTTCGTTCATTGTCAGAGTGAATGTGTCCTGAAAAGTATTAAACAAATCAACCCTCATCCCTTGCCAGCATTAGTATCAGTAATAAACAAAGGCAACATTGTAATTTACACACCAATCCAGCTGTGTGTTCATTAGATTATTAGCTTTTGAATAAGGGGCTGCAAGAGCAAGCCCACACCGAGAACCAGCTTGTTAATCTCCAAGTAAGCAGAAATGACGGTTCATAGTTTCTTTACTCAGCATAGCAACCTAGCAAGCTATGGGTTTATGCTAGCAAGTCAAACCTATGGTGATTTTTCTTTTGCACCTTGTTGCATCACTGAATTACTAGTTTCTCCTCCCCTGCTCTATGTAACCTTGTTTTCAAACCTCTAAATACTACTCCAATTTGAAGGCAAATTCTTAAGTTCCAGTGCTAAGTGAACCCTGATATGTTAGTGTTGTTCACATGGGCATACAGCTGTATACAATTTAATGTGCGCTACTTACAACATACAATTCAAACTCTAATCCCAGTCTTCTCTAACTAGAGTGTTTGCCCGTATCCTCTCCTATGGCATGCACCTACACTGGATCATTTTCAGGATGGAGTCTTGTCAATTTATTGGGAATAGAAGACAAAATAGGGATTTATGCCAGAAATTTACTCTATTATGAAGAGGGCCAACCACCATGACAGAGCTGAGCATACAGAGAAATGGAACTGTGGTAAGCTGGAGACAGAGAGAGAGAGAGAAAGAGACACAGAGAGAGGGAGATGTATATGTATACATAAACACACACTCTCTACCTCTCTATATACACATACACACACACACACACACCCCCTCACACAAACATATACACCCACTATACCCACCTGGTGTAGTTTTGTACTGTTAGTTTTCAAGGTCTAGATAAAAATCCAGATTTAAGGGGCCTAAAAAACAATTACAATGTAGGCCTCCTTTTGGCCTCCTTTTCCAAGGGAGAGATACTTAAAATAGCACTCAAATATGCCGTTTCTACTCTAGGAACACAGCAATTTCTTTCTATTTGCTAGCAAGAAATACCAACCACTTGAGGAAACATTTAGTCTGTATTCACTACTACTGTCTGTCCATTTGGAATCCAACGTTTTTGAAGTGCTCTTTAAGAACTGTCCAAACATAACTATTTTATTCAGGCAATTTCCTTTTAGAAGAAAAAGAGCAGCGCTGTTTTCTACATTTCTTCAGGTATCTATGTTACGTACTGGAACAGTTAAGAGCTCAGGGCAGAGGATTAAAGGAGGACAGTTCGTATCTTGAAGGAAAGTCTGAAGCATTATTAACTCATTGACAAAAAGCCTCCCATACTTACTGGTTTGACTCCAGACACCATGCCTATATATCCTGCAAAATTTGTAGACTTAAATACTGTTTTGTTGTTTCTCTGGAAGTCCAGGTTTACCACTATGGGCTTCAGTTCCTGAGTTACAGTCCAGGAATTATTTTTAACGTCCCACCTGTAGAAGATGGCACAACATTTGAAATACCCGCCCCGCTCAGTAGCTTTTAACATTTCCAACCATAAAACTTGTACCTCCTGTGTGTGATGCCTGTCCTCTGATCTTACTCAGAACCCCAAACCCACCACTGCTAGGTAGTTACCTAAACAACAGAAGCAAGGGCCAGCTAGGAAGTCTTAACACATATGCAGTCTATGAAAAGAATCAAGTTTTGTGCAAGCCAACAGTACATATACCATTGAGAATTAAAAGGCACCAACTGTATAGCTTGCTTATTTTGGACACACACAACTGTTCTACTCCTACTGGCAAGTGGAGGTAGTAGCTAGAGGTACTGCTTCGGTCACCAAACCTACTGAATCTTGAAAGCGTGTGTAGTTTGTTCCTGGTGCAGAATGATCCAGCCACACCAAATTTTTATTTTTCAAAGGGAGAAAACAGAAACAAATACCATTGTATTTGTTTCAGTTGAAGGGAAGACCCAATTCTAGTTTGCAAAATTATCCAGAGAAGCTTTTTCTGCTGAGTGTGTATTTCAGGGGGTGCTAAGGATCACTTTATTAGACAATTAAATTCTCTGGAAACAAAGTTCTAAGAACAACTTTTTAAAGTTTTTTTTTTTTTATTTTCAGGGAACATGTCCCCAGTCTTTCTGACAAAAGGAGAACAGTTCAACACGTGGCTAATCAAGGGATAGATGGAGTCACAGTTGTCCATATGTGAGTTTCTGTTAGGCAAATGAGAATTTTAATGAAGATGAACACTTAAATTCCAACTGGGCATTAAGAATCATCTGGGTAAGTGACATTACAAAATATACTGGGATAACAAAAACAAACCCTGAAAAACCCGATTATGAGGCATGAAAGGAGAGCAGGAGAGCACTAAGAGAACTTAGCGCTAATCAACAAACTGCAGAGTATTCAAAAGAAGATTAAGTGGAGACAAATATAGTATCATATCTAAATAGATGATAACGCTAGATCAAGGGAATACAAATCACCGTAGATTCAGAGTAGAAACAATGAATGATAGGAGATGTCATTAAAGCATGGAGCAGTAACAATCTAGATTACTTCAGAAAAGACTGTGTACACCAAAACTGATGCTTCTGTCACATCACTTAAACAACAAGGTATATTGTGCCTTTAAGATAAGGTTACATGCACTGTTCTTTTCTATAAAAATTCTAGACAGGTTTAACTGCAGCTGAGAAAGCACTAAGGAGCACTAAACACAACTGCTTTCCAAAGTCATTCCTGAAAAATGCAAAGCAGTTTCACATGAGATCAGCAGAAAAACCTTTTGCTTATTCTAGCCCTTTTTAGAGTATACAATGCAGAACTGCTTGCTACAGTTTTCAATAACATCCAATTCCTCATTTATTCTCAGAGAAAGTATGTACAAATTCCAAGTTCAGCTAGCTAGCTTTCTTTTTTTTTTTTTTTTTTTTTTAAACCCAATAGACACCATCTTAGGTACTTACCCAAGAAAGAGCCCGAAATCCAAGTTTCTGGCATGGTACAGCTTCCCTGTAGTAAAATATATATATATATAATTTTTTTTAGAAAGGGATATAAGTTTCAGCTTAGGAAATAAACACATATCGGTAAATAGTAAAAATACCATTGTATGTTTTATACAAAAGACAAATATTTATTTTGTATAAAGACAGAAAAAAGCTTTGTTTTGAATCAAATGTTTTGTCATAATTGAAATCAAGTAATCTTTTAAATTACTGTCCAGCTGAGCATCAGATGCTTTCCATATTAACTATATACATTGATAATAACTCCAGCTTTCTTTTTTTTGAAAGCAAGCCTTTTGTAAGCTCTCTGAGAATCCTTCTGAAGTTTCCTCAATTGGACCAGATGCAGACAAGGGCTGCTGATGTGATTAAGAGAATGGAGAGTCTGTGTTAAGAAAGGAGTTTAGTTAAGTTTCTCTAGCACCACACATTTGCCACAGCTAGAAACTAGATGCAAAATAAATTGCTCTGGAACCCTTCACAACACTGAAAAAACATCAGGTGTTTGGTTGGTGTTTCTTTTCCATAGAAAGGCAAAGGCTATATAGTAAAAAGATATCTCCTTCTTTGTAGTTTCTTTTTTTCTTTTTAAACTTAAGACTCCAGTCATCTCTATTCCCTCTCAAGGTGGTATACCTTTTCATTATCATTGCTTTTAGTCTCTTCTCCTAAACCGCTTTCCTGCACTTGAGGAGGACTGTATTCTGTAAGTGAGGTGGATCCTTCCCTACATAGGACAAACACAGAAAGACTATGCATTACCTGTTTTATCTTCTGCCACTATTGATGTACATACAGTAAAAATTTCATAGAAGATGTTAAAAATAACAATTTCCCCTAGAACGAGAAGAAAAAGTTCAAGAATGAGGTTTTTTTTCTTTTGCAAATACAGCACAATGATTAAAAAAGCTTACTGCAAGACACATCATTCTACATTTCTCTTCAGAATTTCTATTTAGATCTCATTTGATTCATGAAATGATACAAATCAAGAGCTTCCAGAAAGGCAAATAGAAGGATTAGAATCTCTTGGCCTTCTGCCTTACCATACAGAAAGCAGACAGTGACTATGATTTCCTTCTCCAGAAGCTTCAAAGTGTCTACAAAGTATACAAACTTTAAAACTCACTTTAAAAAAATAGTTTATACACAAGTTGCTACATGTACCAGTATTCCCATGCTGCCAGCCAAAAGCTCTCACATATGTACTGCATAAACAGAAGAAAGAGGAAGAAACAGGCCTGTGGACCTTCTCTGTCTAGATTCTGGAAGAAATCAGTGTCTAATACTTGCTTGGAACTTTGTTCCCTTAGCGGGGGAAAAGGGGAAGAAGATGCGGTGAGCATTTTGGGGGGGGAAAAGTACAGTGTGAAAGTCAGTCTTGCCTCCTTGGCATGTTGAGAGCAGACATGGAATGCACAGGAACGTACATAGAGCCACCCTCCTCATTCAGGCAGCCCCTGAATTTTAGTGTCCAGAAGCTGAAACGCTCCAGTTCCCAAAGCTCAGAGGTAAAAAGCTACAGCTATGTAGAAAAGTCTCAATCTGATGAAAGAGTTATGTAATTTATTGCCATTCTCTTCTAAATACTGTTTTGATTTAGTATGAGATGCAATTTGGTTTTTTTACTTATTTAATTCATAATTCAGTTGTTAAAGTGACAGCTGAATACAACTGAACTGCAAACTGTTAAATATATTGAACAAGACCTAAATATATTTAATGAGTCCTAAATATATTTAATTTTTAACGAGTCCAGATTCCTAATTTTCTATTATGTTAATGAAACATTGAAAAACATTACCCAAAGGAATTCCAGATGCATTTGCAATCCCTTGGAGTTCTTCATTGAAAGGATAAGGAAGCGTAGAGGTCAGGAGAGCCTGAGAGAAGAAGATTCATGTGTTGTCTGTGTAAATTAATACAATTTTTTTTTTTTTTTTTTTACTTAAAACAGACTTCTCCAATAGATGCATCCTTACTAGCACTATAAAACTGTATTTCATTCCTCTGCAGTTTGTAGAACCTGAGGACATTTGTACAGTACTTGAAAGAAAAGTATGTATTTAGGGAAAGTAAAAACTATTATTCATTAAAATATTGACATGTGAGCAATGAAGACAATCCTTATCTTTCACAAACTGGCACGACTACCACCCAGTCTCAGGCACACAGTGATACTGTAGCAAGCTGAATGATGAATGGCCAGCATGACCCAAGGCTGCTATAAACCGAGATGGGGGCAGATCTGACCGCACGCACAGTACTGATTTTCCCCTATCCTGATCCTATGCCAAAGCCTATTTTAATCAGACTGAATTCTTCCTTAAAAATCAAGCGTAATCGAAGTTGCCTTTGGATTCAGACATTTCCTAGTTTTCAAAACCCGATTTGATTCTACTGATTAAAAGGAGTTCAGCACAGCAAACAGCATCCCAGTAAAGTGCCTGCTAGAGAGACCAAGCCACTTTCAACAGCATATACACCTAGCATGACTAATCCAAATTTGAGAAATTCTTAGGAAAAAAAACAGAGGAGGAAGACACACAGGCATTTTAGGTTTGATGGTTTCAGTATAATTTAACTCTTCAAGCTATCATTTTTTCCCAATAATCTAGGAAGAATTATTGCATGTAAAGATTTTTAATTAGCCAAATTCAGTAACATTCTGGTAGCCAGAGTATACAGCAGTAAAATATTTAAGCTGACAATACTTACTATTTTGTGATCCACTATGTCAACGATTTTGCCACTAGGGAAGAATGTATTTGCTATATCTTTAATATTCTGGACTACAGTCTTCAACTAAAAAGAACAAGAACTTTTATTGAATAGAAGATCTTGAGCTTAAGAACTATAAGAATACTTTTTGAAACAGCATTTTGTTGAAAAAGCACATATTTGTGAGAAGTGCCTAATATGGTGTTAACCATATTAGAGAAAAACATTCCTAGTTTCCACAGCCATTTAAGAACTCAGCTATGGGACAGTCACTCTTCAGTCTTTACTCAAATGACTATGTAGATCAGCTCTTATAACTCCCATTAACAGAAAAAACAATTATAGGAAAAAGCCATTCACGTCTTCTGCTCCTGTGATCACATTTACAGATAACGTTTTGCACCTTTCCATCTTTAAAAATAGCAATCAATTAGAAGCTTTTTGCTTAAGCATCAATGCTGGTGAAGCAAAAAACACTAGGTAAATGTCTTAAAAAATACACCAGGAGGAGCCTGTGGTTTGCAAAATATGAATTGCCACAAATGCAGAGGTCCACTGCATCTTATTTAACTCGGAAGTTCATGAGAGATAAGATCTTTTGAAACTGAAGGTGCGACCTGATGCTTCCAAAGCCCACTGGCTTAAACTAGACTTTGCAAACAAACATAACGGTGTAAGTAGAATTAGTCTAGCTTTCAGAGTTTAAAGGTCAAAGTCAGCAGTTATATACTAAAAAGTTGTTTTAAATAGGCTGAAATAGACTTGAATAGTTTTAAAAATTTCCATAATAAAAGAATGCTCGTTTCATATATGCTAAGCTTAAACATAACCTCCACTTTTCATACCTCTGTCTTTTTGTCATGCATCAACTTCTCCCATCTTTTGCTGGGAGGTAAATCAAGATTTATGACATACGTGGGAACATGCCCTTGGAACCTGAAAGATAAGTGTCAGAGTTCAAATTTAAAAGCAGCTTTGAAAAAAAATGCATAAATTTGACAAAATAAGTGCTTTTGACTTGTAAGCAGTAGTTTCTAGATCTGTAATATGAACAACTCATAAGAAACTCAACAGCTCATACTTCCAATTCACTACTTTTTTTGTAAATTGTTAGAGAAGTCCAATCAGATTACTTACGTTGGTCCTGAAGGAGGGTATGTTTTACTTCTGCAGTCTTCTCCATACTGTGGAGACAGTTAAGCATTACTATTTAGCTTCTTTGTTAAAAGACTTTTAATATTCTAGCAAACTTAGTTTTGAACTAAGCCTTTAGGACTAGTCAGCTAATTCAATTCGTGATAATTTGATACTAAAGGGAAAGTCTAATAGACTTGAGAAGGGGAACAGAGGAAAGTAAAAGGCAGTGGACAAACATCATCTGTACTATGCTATCATACAGCATTTCAGCTAACTTATCCAATGCAGTCCAGCATAAGCACACATTTATGATAAAAAGACAAGCCCATTTTTATTCAGCGTGGCTCAGTTAACACAAGACCGACACATGAATAAGGAAGAGCGCTTGAACATTTTCTTCAGAAAAACTCAGTCACATTAAATCTCAGTACGGACCAGTCTGTACTGTTCATTTAATTCATAATCTAATTTCATTACATCATTCATAATTATGTTCAGTACTAAGCTTCATTTTATGGTTGGGACAGAGAAAGCACATAGAACTTTTATGCAAATTGCTTAACCGCAGGCATGATCTATACAACACAACCTTCTGTTTAATACGAAAAGGTGCTGCTAAACTAGCGCTAAGTATGATTAGAGCCACATTTCAGAATTATAACTAAAACCCAGTTAGCTTAATTCCTGTAAATACGGCTAATTACAAATGAAAGTTTGAGAACTATATTCAGATGTACTCAAAGTGAATGTAAGGATGTTCCCCCACTAATTACATACAGCATGTATATACATATGTATATACATCTTAATTCCTATGCATATACATATTTATATACACAGGCCCCAATCATTATAGCATGTTTTACACAGTCAGATACAAGCAGATGCATATTAGTTGCACCTGTTCTTCAAGCCAGCTGGGAGCAGACCCGATCTGGTCTGAAACCACTTAGTCACATTAGCAAGCTCCTGAGAAGGCAGTATGTCCTCTCCCTCCCTGAATTACTTGAACAGGCAGTTGTGCACCAACGCAGCTACTGGCCCTGGAGACAGGAGCCAGCAGGCTAGGTCCTCACTAGCGCTGCTGCTGTCCTGGGCCTGCATGTGGACAATCCTGTCTTTTTACTGCTATTTCATTCTGTAGCTTCAGCTTTGAAGAACCTGGCTAATCTGCCAGTCCAATTTTTCTGGGCTTTATTCAGCAAACTATATATCTCAGAATGTACAAAAGGAAACATACATATGCTGTTCTGTAAGTATACACAAAGGCTCCCAAAGCACAAACATTTGGAAGACAGAAAAGAAATGAAAACATGTAGGGAAACCCTCCTCGCTCCCAGCATTCGTTTCCAATTTTTATTTGGCTGTACTAATTAGATTACTTTATTGGTGTGTCCTTATAATGCATTCTGGCTCTCTAGCCACACAAGATCTCTAGCAGTTACATATCTGTGATTAACAAGCTAACTAATGTCCAAGCTGTTCTTGGGCAAATCACATTATCCACTTTTAATGCATTAATCTAGAAAAATCAGTTTCTTGCACATTGCCACAGACTCTTAAACATTCATATAATTTGTTACAACAGGAAAAAGGATTTTTAAAGTCGGACTGACTGATTTTCATGCATTATTTTAGTGTTTTCATTTTGTATTATTTCCAGTGGCTGTGAGAAAGCTTGAAACAAAGTTTGGTTTTCCTACATATGAGATGGAAGGCTAGGACTATGCTGCTTCTTGCTAAGAACAAATGCATTTCCTAGATTTCAGTGTAGTGCAGTTACAGCCTCTCACAGCTGGAACAAAAAGTCAAACTCAGGAGTCCATTTTATTTTCAATATGAGGATGTTTCAAAATAAGGAAAGTAGGCAAAGATATCAGATGACTAAGTAGGCAACAAGAACCAGAAGCTTCATGTGCAGCCAAGAAAATACTTAATAGCGTTAATGCAATTGTTTGTGAAATTTTCCATTCTGCAAGACTAAAATAAGTTAGAAAAAGTGACATCACATGTATATCCTGCTGCAGTGATGGCACAGCAGAGTCAGACATCTCAGTAGCAAAACTTTCCAAAACATGCTTCTTAACAGATAAAGATTATAACAAAAAATGATCCAAAATAGTTCCTTTTACATTCAGAAGAGATTCTCTTTTTAACTGAGAGGACTGAATAACCAGGCAACAAAAACTGCAAGCTGGACTTGTGAAAGGTTAGTAAGAAGATATGCCCCTAAGTGATCAATTGTACACGAAAAGTTTTAGCTCAAGATTGTCATGCATCTAAATAACGTTAGCTTGGGCTCCTTGCTTCCAGGAAGGGTTACTGTTAATTTGTTTTCAAAGAGTGTGTACCAAACACTACTGGACCCTTCCACCAAAAAAAAAAAGTTCAGTCAATTTGTCAGTATAGTCTGTGTGCCCACAGAGCAAACAGTATCAATCTAGCAAACTTACTTCAGAGTATTTTAAGTGATGTTTCAAGTGCTAATTGACATGTTATTCCAATCTCTCTCCCCTGAGATTTTAATCTTCCATTTGAAACTATTTTTATCTTCCTTGTCCTCTGCAACATAAGCCACAAGAGAGGCAGGGAAAAGGACAGTTAAAGGAAGAGTTAGGGGAGAAATACAGACAACAAAATATCCCCTCCTTATATGCCAGTAATTTTAAACTGCTCAACTCTCTATGTACAAAGCAAGCAAAGCAAACTAATAATCCTCAAAACAACCTATAGATCTATCAAACTTGTTAAATTAGAATTAAGATATCAGAAGAAAGCCAACATGACTAAGTTTTTTAGAAACTCTATAACAGCACAGAAAGAATAACTCAAAAAGATGTTAAAATAATCAGAAAACTTGAAAGATTTTTTTCATACAAAGTTCATCTAGCGAGGGACAAAAATCTGTTTGCCTTTTGTGATTGCTACAGGCTAACTGCAAACTTTTCCAACAAGACAAAAAGAAAGAAGAAAGCCTACCCTAAACTTTTTTTTAAAAACAATTTAGTTTTAGGAAGCAGAGTTTCCTGCTTTGAAAGCCTAACGTAACCAAACATACATGGATCAACACAGAGTTGTTTTCCTGGGTCTTCAGAAAGATCACATGCACTTGCTGCTGCTCTGGCTTTTCTAAGTTACTGCACAAAAATAGCATTTGTTACTCAAGGGTTTCTTAACAGCAACAGAAAAAACAACAGGCACTTTCTATTAACAGAAAGAAATAAGCAGCTATTAACTAATTGCTGTGGTCAACAAGACCCTCTCCTCCACAGGAGCATGAGACTAGAAGAACAATAAATGTTGTCTGAGGAAGTACAAGCAGCCTCCTCACAGCCGACATCTAACTGCCCAGAGACAATCACCTTTAGTTTCCAACTTTGCAACTTCAAACTTTTTGGGTGGTCTCCCAAAAAAGAGACAGCAGCAGTTCTTTAACAAAGGGAGGTTGCCACAAATTTCCCTTCTGAACATGCACTGAGCCCCTTGTGAGGAAGGCAGCTATTCTTGAGTGTTTCCCTACCCCTTTTATGAAAATCACCCTTCACTAGTTGCTTGCGTGTTTTGACTACTTGATGCACAGCCAACTCCAGAATTTTATGTACGTAAGGACGCAAAAATGGATGTGCAGCAGCCTAAGACCAACATATTAAAAGAAAGAAAACACTGTGGAGGAGAAAGACAATGTGGTATGTGGAAAGACAAAACTAATTAGCAAAACGTGGAGGTAATGTGGAAGAGTTATGCTATGACCTATGGTATGAAAATAAATGGAGCAGAATAGGAACAGAGTAGCTAAACAAACTGTCAAACTGAATTGCTACCTGGAGAAAAAAAAATTAATAACAGTTACGATGCACTGCAGAATAACCGCATAATAACATAATAAAGAGAAATAATGCACAGTTCAATGACTGCTGAGCAAGTGTTTTAAAAATCAGCCTGACTTCATTAACATGAAGTAGGCTGAACATCCAGTCTAAACAATGCCAGCTACAAGACTTTCTTTATTACTCCCAAAAGTATTTTTGATGTGGACAGTATCAGGCATCCTTCTTTAATACTCAGCGCAAGTGTTCCTTGTCTTCATCTTTAAAAAATAAACACAAACTTATCTTTTTTGCGCTATGAAATAATATTCTATAGTTTAAGGACACGGCATTCAATCTTTTTTAAATAAAATAATCTGTTATGCTTGGTATCTTTTGGTCTATGAACTCTCTGTTCCAAGACATTTTTCTCTCTATTCCTCCACTTGCAGGACACACCGATGCAGTATTCTGCCAAACTAGTATTTCAGATGATATTCACCTTTTGAAATACAGAAATTAACAGTACTCTTGCAGCACTGAAGAAATGGGGAAGAGGCCAGTTTAAATTGCAGTTTGGATGAAAGTTTCAGCATGGCTGTGCAGGCTAAAGAGATTAACAGTCAGCACAACTGAGATATAATTCAAGGTATAATTGCATAATCTTTCATAACAAAAGGAAAATAACACAAATAGCTCTAAACTGGAAGACAGCAATCAACAAATGATTAATTCCAACCTCTCAACCAAAAAAATAAAATAAAAAAGAAAATCACAGTATCATACCTGGCTGCGCAGCAGCGCAGTCTGCAACATGGAGACCCACTAGATATTACATAAATGCAAGCATGTGTCTAAGTGCAAACTAAAGCAAAATCAAGCTCCAGGGGCAGGACTTTGCTGATAGCTGCCACGTCTCCCACCATCCCCACCAGGCTTTTTGTTACGATTCTGCAGGTGTTTTAGGCTGGAGCTGGCTTACTGCGGAGGGAAGCTGCCCCTTACGGGTGCTGAAGGGCTTTTGGTACACAGAGGAGGAGAAGAGGGCCTATTTCTAGGTAGTCGGGACGCTAAGGGAGTTTGGGTCATACAGCTGCCCATAGTCCTCCAACGCTTTGCCTGTGATTTTCTCCTCTCCCCTGGCCAAACACCATCCTTGCTTTCCCGAAGGCAATACAGTTCGGTAGGAAACACGCTGAGAGCACAACGCACAAGAGCATAGGGAACCCCGCAACGTTTAAACGCCTATC